CTGACAATCGCCCAACGAGCTTGCAAGATACTAAAACAACGCTCGACATCCTTCTTACACCCCTCTTGACACTTTGCGAAGTGTTTTTCCTTTTCACTTTGTGGATGTGGCACTGTTTTGACCAATGTTGACCACCTTGGGTAAATGTCATCTGCAAGGTAGTATGGTCCCTCATATTTATTACCATTAACCCAATATGTGCATCTCGGCCCATTTCCTTGTAGCAGTTCGTCAAACACTGGAGATTGGGCAAGGTCATTTAGGTCATCCGGAGCTCCTGGAACACCAAAAAAAGCATGCCAAATCCATGTATCAAATGAAGCCACCGCTTCCAAAATGATGCTTTTGGCTCATTTTCTGTCGCCATAAGCTCCTTGCCACGCACTTGGACAATTTTTCCAAGTCCAGTGCATGCAGTCGATGCTTCCAATCATGCCAGGGAAGCCTCACATCTCACCCTTCCTTAGAAGCCTTCGCATGTCCCTTGGCGTGGGTTTCCGAAGGTACTCATTAGTGTAGAAGGCTTCAATTGCAGAGCAAAACCACATTAGGGACTCCAGAACAGTTGTTTTTCCCATCCTTGCTATCTCATCCACTTAATCTACAGATGCTCCATATGCAAGCATTCACAAGGCAGCTGTAATTTTTTGCTCAGGAAGAAGACCTAGAACATGAAAAGCATCCTCTTTTTGCAAAAAATATGGATCATGGTTGCAAACAGCACTCATGATTTTATCGAACAAACTTCGTTGCATTCTAAAACGACGTCTAAAAACATGATCAGGGAAAACGCTGTTAGGAATAAAATAATCTTCCAAGAGATCTTTACCTCGTATTTCCCTTCTTCTATCGATGTTTGCCGCACGTCTGGGTTTGGTTATCTGACCCACAGCTTCCATGATACGGTGGGAATGTGAGGCCCTCCACCTTCTATGGTGATCATCCTCATCCTCCTCTATTGCGAAGGCCTCATCTCCACCTCCACCTTCGTCAAGATTGACCAATTATTCTTGTTGTGCCAACAACCTTTTTTGCTGCTTTTGCAACTGTTTATACACTCTCCTTGAAGAAGACGTTGTAAGAACTCAAGATTTGAAAACGATAAAGAAGGATTCTGAGCTAAAAAAAGGGATTGAGTTTAGTGTGAGGATGGATGTAGGGATGTAGGGTTTATATGGACAAAAAAAAGAAAAGATGAGGTTCTGGACAATGCCACGTGGCGCTACGTGATTGGTTGAAAATCTTATCGAAATCTTGGCTAAATTATTGTAAACAGGAAGTGACACGTGGCGTGTCGGGATTGGTTGAAAATCTTATCAGAAATCTATCTACAAAATAGTATGTTCGGATAATGACACGTGGCGTGATAAGATTGGTTGAAAATCTTATCGAAATCTTGCCTAAATTATTGTAAACAGGAAGTGACACATGGCTTGTCGGGGTTGGTTGAAAATCTTAGCGGAAATCTATTCACAAAATAGTACGTTCGGATAATGACACGTGGTGTGACGAGATTGGTTAAAAATCCTATCCGAAATTAAAACTATTTTTTTAATTTATTATTTTATAAAAAAAATTATTTAATATTTTAAATGGACTGGGTGCCAACGCATTTTGTAGGGGTGGAGATCGTTTGTGCCAGCGCATTTTTAGACTGGGTGCCAGCACATTTTTTTAGGGGTGGAGATGCTTTGGCCTATTACTGTTTATTAAGGTCTATTACTTTTCACTGAAATGGATAAATGGGTTGGGTGCTGGCGCAAAGTCCTTAGGGGTGGAGTTGCTCTAAGATCTTGCTCAACAGTACCTTAACTACGAAAACCTGATTGAGGTTTTCTTAGCTTTAATAAAATAAAATAAAAATAAAAACTAAACTAAACCCAATGAATTATAATCTGGTACATCAAGTGTCATAATATAATTAATTCAAACTTTTTTTTTCAAGTGTCCAACCAATTGTATTATATATGACATTTGGTATACCACGCGTGTTCTCGGTGAAAAATTTCTCCTATTAATCTTCATTGCATTTTCCTTCTCTAACTATGCTTGTGTTGTGTGGCAAGCAACCTACCCGCTAAGGAATTCTTCTGCTTCTCATCGGGCATTCATAATATAATTCTTCGTACCAAATTAGGTCAACATTGATTCGCCCAATTTTTAGGGTTTCCAAGCAATTGCCGCCAACATTAAGCTTATGCCACATTCCCAATCAGTAATGCACATACCAAAAAAGAACTAAAAAACTCAACTTGCATTTTGTTTTTCACAATCCCACCCTTAATTGGATGATTATAAATTGATTGTAATCTTTATTTACTTATAATAAAACTTCAAATTAGCTCCAAATCCAAATGTACATAATTAGAGTACTACGTTACTATATAATATTGCAACAACCGCTACATGCATTGTAATGTGGATTGTTAAACCACGGTTATCCGTTCCAACACATGATTACAAGGTTGACTCAAATCTTGGGCTGTGATCAAGAGAAAGATAAGGCTGATTAAGATTAAAAATAATAATTAAACATAAATGTTATGAAGAACAATTAAATTGTGAGCCCAACCAAGTAGATTTCATGCTTGTGGGGTCGTTTTGTTAGGTTATAGTCTATTGGATCCAAAGACAACCATGTGAAAGCAACATTCTTTCTGATCAGTTGGTGTGACACAAACTCTCATTCCACTCTGCCATTTCCTTCTGCAAATGCCCTTTCGCATATATATTATTATTATCCTAAATTCCTTCGAAAATAAAGTGATCGCAATTGATGATAAGACGAGAGAAATTTGGTCAATATGGTTTGGACATGTAAACAGAAGATCTACAAATGCTTCGGTTAGAAAATGCGATTATAAGACAGAAGCTCAGAACAAAAGAGGTAGAGAAGAACCTAAAAAGACTTGGAAAGAAACTCTAAGAAAAGACAATAAGTATATGAAGCTAACGAAAGACTCATTATAAAACCGAACGCAATGATATTTTATGATCATATAACCGACCTTATTTAATAGAATATAGCAATTGTTGTTGTACCCTAAATCCTTCCCCAAGAAGCACAAATTTCCAAAATACAGCTAAGATAAATAAACTCCTCTCTTTGGAATTTTCCTCGTTTTGTTAGGAAAAAGGTTTAAATACGGGGAACATATTAAATGGGAATTGGAGACATGTTGAGTGTGTGTTTTGACAGATCATGCATTGGAAATGAACTTTGTGATTAAACTTTTTTTGATAGCTTGTCATGGCAGATGAATCCACAACCGTCCATTTGGATTTTGGAATAAGGATCTACGTATCCGTTGTGTGGCCCAGGTGGTATTGCATGATTTGGTAGCATAGGTGAACATATTCGAAATGTTGGGTTGGAAGGGGAGGGGAGGTTATATTACGTGCCCTAGCTATGAAGTGATCATCAATTCGTGAATCATGATTTGAAATTTTAAAGTACTTACAATACAATCAAATGCTTTTGAGGATATTAAACTTTGCCCTACATAATCCCAATTTAAAGGACAGGATGGGACTCATCAACTCCCATATCGTCATGTTTCTCTTATATACTTGAACTTATTAAGGTTTAATTATTATGTATAAACCTCTAAATCCTCTCTAGATCTTTGTGTTCAAAGTCTACGGATTCAGATATTTTGACCACTCTTTTAGAGTTTTATAGCCCCTGTTTGAACAACCTAGATTTTTGGGTCTGTGAGCCCCGAACTTGTAGACTTGAAGAGGATCCCGATTCCTCTAAACATACCATAAACCGACTCCTTTTTTTAAACACAACAATATTATTTACACTACGAAGTGGGTAAATAAATTGATTCAAACTTGCTATCAACGAGATTCAAATTTAAATTGATCCCGGCAAATCTTTCCTAGGTCATCCTTTGGTTCTATATTCTATATCTTTTTTTTTTATTTTGTGTTAGTACAATTCTGCTCCTACAGAAACAACATTAAACCAGTTGGAGCGTATGGTCCCTGTATCAGACAGGATCAAACAGTATTGTTTCCTCAGATTTTCTCAAGGAGGAAAGCGTTCTAGCATTTCCTAGCTTAGCTGTTTTTTGCACCGACGTGATCCAATTCCATCAAGGTTTGTCTGGCAATATAGTTTAGCCCATTGATCCCCTCAGCTGTTACAACTAAAGCCCAAAACTGTGGGCCTTGAAACCAATTGTTGGGCCTAATTCATTGGTATATAAACTAACTTTGAACCCGTTGTTTTGGACTGAACCCACCTTTATATATATGTGTGTGTGTGTGTGTGTGTGTGTGTGTATATATATTTTAACAAACGATATTATTTACATTAAGAGAATGGAGAGGTGGACGAGTCTCACAATGGGCTAGCCATAGTAATGTAGTTAAAATTCACCTTTGGCGAGAATCAAATCTAAGACTTCTTACTTACAAAAGAAGATGAGTAGCACTAAACCATAGTACTAAGTGGCTGAACCAATATTACATTAAATTTTTTTTTCCTTCTTCCATAAGAAATAAAACAATCACAAGAAAAAGCCACGACAACAATGATTCATATATAATTGATAATTCTGTCCTTTTTTATTCGCTTCAATTCCTAAAAGAAAATTATTACGAGGAGTTTAATAGTTTAAGAATGATGTGAATTTGTGTCATTTGGTATTATAATCTAATGATATTCTTTCTTATAAATGAGAATTTTTAACTTAAAATTCAGAAAAATAACGAGTTCACAATAAATTATTTTGCCACCCTATAAATATATCGTTACATCAACGAACAAAATAATAAAAATGATTTTGTCGTCGTTAAAATTGACTTGTCTGCTTAAAGATTGTAACATTTTTGAAAATCGGGATCTTTGTCCGTGGTTTCAAATCATTGCTCCGCAAAAGCGGCAAACAGACCAAAACGTCCGAAATACTTATGCAGATTCCCAAACCAAGTCAGTGTTCTGTGTCCCAACCCAAACACGTACGTCCCATATTTAAACAATTCGTTAATTAACATTAACATTCTTGAATCTTAATTTCTTTTCACTATTCATTCCTTTGATTTCGAATTATCGATGGCGATCCATGCATGATCAAGTAGGTCAAATTACAAACTAATTAAGATTAAGTGCATGCAGCCGCAATTAGAGGGCGGGCGTCGCCACTTAAGAGGACAAGGTGGTGGCCGCGGCGGCCGAGATATGATTAGTTTTGGTGGGCCCGCTGACCGTGTCTCTGTCGAAATTGGTGGTGGTGGTGACTCGCTCGCAACGAGGGCACATGGTGAGTGTGGATGCCGGAAGAGGGTCGCAACTGTGGGGGGAAAGCACGGTGGGCGGGCCGACTTTCATTGCCCTCAGCTCCTTCACCTCCCTTTGCAGCCGCCGATTCTGTTCAGTCAGCGATCCGAACCATCTCTTCAGATACTCGCATTCCATCTCTGTTTGCTTCAGCTTGCTCCTACATATAACACCATTCACGTTAATTAATTAATTAATTAATTAAAATATCAATTTTATATATTTTGTTTTAAAATAAAAAATTGAAAATTACATGCACGCGTAAGTAAAACACAGCATGCGAGAAATTAATACATTAAATGCACCGAGCATTATTCAAACATAACATATGTGCATTCGATGTGCTTACCAAAACACTCACACGGTCACACCACATTAAAAAAAAAAAAAATTAAACAGAAAGAAAGCATAAAAACACACGTGTTTATGTATGTATGTGTGTGTATGTATAAGTATAATGAACCTGAGTTGAGCGATTCCTCAAATATCTTTATATACGTACATAAGCAGAGCTATGAAGAGACTAGGATGGTCCTAGGATGATCTCAGACCCATCCTGACACTTGTTTTATTTTCAAGATTTTTCATAGGCTCAGAGCCCCAATATGACGTTTTTACTTTAATTTGTTTCATCGGTTTTGACTTGAGGTTTGGTGACTCCTATGGAATTCAGGCAATCCATTGCTTATGAGCTTTGAGGAAGACTTTGGTTTGGGGATCAATGGAGGGAGAAAGGAAGAAAGTTTGAGAGTTTTGGAGTTTAGGTTTAAGGAAGATGATGATGTGGAAGCCACCATACCAGACACAAACAATGTTGGTCAGTTGCTCACTACACGACAGATTCATTTTTGTAAGATCAAGAGAGCACTTCGGATTGAGACATTTGAGCCCTTCTTAGACTAATCAAACTTCCGGCTCCACCACTATATATGTATATATACACACACGAACATAAGTGGGGAGGAGGAATCATCACATAACTTTGGGAGGCCAAAGTAATTTTTTAGGATGAGGAATCGAACCCAACAGTGGAAGTGCAAGAATAAATACTCTTAACTAACTAAGTTGAAAACCCTGTTCCAAATACTGAAGAATTAAATGTGCATGGTGGATGACATAGATGAAATCATAAATACATGTGGATGGCATGGCAAAAAGTCCAAAGAGTAAAGACGACCAGCTAGATTGAGTGAGTGAGTCAAAAAAGCACTTATTAGAGTGATGAAACTGACGAGCACACGAGGCTATAAAACACCGAAAACAAAAACATCCTCTTATTCATCAATGCTCACTCCTAGCTATTTTCTATATCATCATTGTGTTTCATTCTTTTGGAGCACCACTATCATTATCTTCCTTCAAATTCTTCATAAATTCTTCATGAATTTGAATGTCTACTTTACCAACCTAATCGTAACTGCCAATATTACTTATTATAATTATGTGTGTGTGTGTGTATATACACATATATATATGTATGCATTATTCTATGATTAATCTTAACAAGTTTTTGTATAAAAAGGAAAAAAATTCTATCATTTCTTGCAAGAGAATAAGAATATTCTGATATTTTTAGCTTTAAAAAGGAAAATTACACAAAGAAAAAGCACTCTCTTTTGCATAAATGTTCGCCCGGGCAATAGGTAAAATTAAAAGTAGGCTAAGTTTAAAGTTCGAAAGATCTCTAATGTAGCAAAATAAAACCTTCGCAATACCCTATAAATATAGAGGAGTTCGACATGTAATTATGCCCACGTACACGCACAGATATATTATCTATATATAGAATTAGATTCAAATTATAAATGCATAAATATTTTGTGAAAAGGACATGACGACAGATAAAAATCCCAACGACCAACAAAATAATTAATGGAAAGGACCAAAGAAAATAAAATTCAAAGTCCATGAGATCGATGAACCTAGATACGCTAGCTAAAGCCATTAGGGTACACAATTACCTGGCCCTACGATTTTGAAACCACACCTCAACCTGGCGTGGCCTCAGCTTCAACTGCATCGCCAACGCCTCTTTCTGCTTCTGCAAAACACTCCAAAACTGTATTTATTATTTTGAACAAGAACCACTTAACCTATTAATTAATATTTAATTAAGAACAGGCTACTAATTAATTATGATTAAGCTTACAGGGTTTAAGGTGTGGTGTTGTCTGAAGCTTTCTTCGAGAAGACGAGACTGTTCCTTCGTGAGACGAAGCTTCTTGCGGGGAGGGCCCGATCCGTTGCTGCTTTCTTCTTCGTCTTCCATGCCTGCTGTCATCCACTCTTCTTGATCTCCTTGTAGTGATGGCACTTGGTTTATGTCCAAGTCTCTCACTGCAAAACCCAATTCACCATATTTAATCATAAAATAAATATTCTTAACCGCTCGAGCTACTACCTTCTTGCAAACTTATTATCAATTTATATATGTACCAAAGAAAAAGTTTTAAAACAAATATTGGCCACCAAACTTGTCTTTGTGAGAAATGACAAAGAGAGTTTATCAGGGTTTAGGGGATTGTCCATAGAAAATACGATTGACTTCTGGGGGGAAAAGGGTAAAAAGAAAGACATGCAAGATATCCTGGTAAAAGATCGTATCGTATGTATGTTGAAAATCAACTAAAAACAAAAAGATCATATGTTAATTAAGTTTTTATAAACAAAAAAACAAAAGAAAATACTGGGAATATCTGATATCTTAAAGCTAAAAATAGATTTCCAAATAATACACAAACATCAATCGATTTAATAGACTTTATACATGAAAAATATGGTGTAGAAAAATGGAGGAGGAAAAGCGTGGTGGGTTCGTTTACCAGATGAATTAAGAAAAGACGGGTACGAAGAGAAGCCGGGTACGGATATCGTCAACTCCAAGCTTGACGATCCCATCGCCATCGCCGTCGGTAAAACCGCCATAGAAACCCTAATTGCAGGTGTGGGATGAAGAGTTAAGAAGAAGAAAGGAGGAGAGAGAGGGGGAAAGGGTAAAGTAAAAACAGGAGGAGACAGATGAAAACCACAAAACCAGATGATGAAATAGAGAGAAAAAGTTAAAAGGTGAAAAGGCCACATAAATAGTGGGGAGAGAGGACAAGATATAGAAATGGAGGAAGGGCAAAGGAGTAAAAAGAGCACAGAAGTATGAACGGGACGAGGATGTAAATGTATGGAGTTTTGGTTAGGGTTTTCTTGACTGCTGTCATCAAGTCAAAGGTTCTGACCGTTGGGATGGAAGACACGTGTAGGACTGAAGAGAAAACTGTGTGGGATAATAACCGGCAACTTTTCCTGTTAAGGAGATTACAAAAGAAGAGGGTAGTTGTCGGTTGGAAGGTCAGCTGATGAAATGATTGGGAACCATGAGCCTGGGTCTTGAGCCTTCTTTTTCTGTTCTGTCGTTCCAGAATGACTTACATGAAACAGATAAATTAATTATTTATTAAATTTATAATGTGATATCATGTTTGTAATATATTTTATATAATAACCTGTATTGTGCTTAGAAACCTATTGTTATATAATTTTACACTATACTCGTTTTATGTAAATCTTCATTTTCTTGCACAAATACATACAACATTTTTGTTGTCCCCCCTCTACCCTTAAAAGGAAAATGAATAACCGATTTCATGGACCGACCCATAAGCATACATACAAGGGGAATTATTATTTACCGACTTTCATGATAATTGATTGAATCAGGGCCATTGAGAGATTGATCAGTGACGCAGAGGAAAAAGGATGGTATGGGGACGCGACACATTAGATAGAATGTTTTTTGTTTTAAATTTTAAATAAAAATTTAAAATATGTGGGTATATATATTAATGGCAATGTATTGTTACGTAGTGTTTGTGTAATGGGAAAATTGAATGCTGCATGAGTTATCAGGTTTGCGGGTACAAAAAGGAGTTGTAACGTTTACTCAAAATATTAAGAGATGTGATATTCACACACTCCTTTTTACTTCTTTCACACATTTTTAGTTTTCGGCCATCGGATCGGATGAATTGAGAAAGGTCAACAGACATAAATTAACAAAGGATGTGTGAGAAGTAAAAAGGGGTGTGTAGATAGCACACCCCAATATTAATGCTTAAGAAGAAAATGACATAATTCTGGGGGAGGTGTGGTGTTGCGGAGCAGAGCCATTTATGAAGCAATAGCTTTGCTAATTTTCTGCAACCTTCTTAATTTTAAATGCCTTTGTAATTGCACCAATGACTTTGAATTAACTGTTCTAGGGTTTACTTCCCCTCTCTCTCACACTAAACATAAAATATAAGTCGAAAGGAACTTATACAAAACGAGTTTATCGTTATATCGATGTTTCGGTTCGATAATGCAATACCATGTCTAAAGAGATTTACATGATATGTTGTACATGTTATTGGATCGAAACACCACAGTAACGACGAACATGTTTCGTTGTTCTCCAGCAAATAAGATGTTAAATGAAATCATGAGGTTCCTTTACTACTTATTCATGGTTGGAATTTGGAAACATGTTAATTTTTCCCAAATTCCACCAGAAGACTGGTCAGCAAAATTAAAATCAGGAGCCATATTATTGAGGAACAGTTAATTAGATATTTATTTAGCAAAAAGAAAAACTGAAATGTGTACTCAGTAGATTTGACCAGGAAAATCAATATCCAATGTCCCAAATAATTAATCACCTCGATCCTTCCCTTTTTCACAGAAGGTGAAGAATTACAACCGGCCATTTGTGTTTTTTTGTTTGTCAAATACCAAACCAATCAAACCCAACACTTTGTGAGACACACCGACATTTCTATGGATTAAAATCAAACAACTGGCGTAAAATTATCATGTTGTTTACATGAATGCCAAAGTGCGACGACTCTTAAACATTGGACTTCGACATCATGTCTTGAGAGAAGTTGTGAACGCGTGACAATTGGACTTCGAACGTGGTGCAAGCTCTAGTCTGATACCATGAAGCTCAAGCTCCTCTTGGAAAGGCAATTGGAGAAGTAGCCTTAGTCTTAGCGTATGAAAGATTTCTTAACTTCTTCTATGAACCAACTCTCCAAATCCTCATGAATATGACTAGATAAAAGGCCAATTGATTACTTTCGTATTAACTAGAAAGTGACTTTGGATCAATGGAATGAAGTGTATATTTTCTTTATTTTTCTTTCTATTACGCTTTAAATAAGAAGAAGCGTTGACACACAAAAAAAAATCTAAGTTTTTCTCATTAAGAAAATTACTATGATTCGTGGCATGATAATGCTATCAAATCATCAGCAGCTTATCTCAATTTTGCTTCTCGTCGTATGCACTCATTCGTGCACACAAAACGGCCTTCCGACGCGCTCATTGCCCAGATTTTCAACTCGCACCAAGGGCCATAGGGTCAAGTCCCAAATTCGATTATTTATTTTTCTTTCTTTTTATTTATTTGATTTTTTGGTCGTAAAGTCCAACTTTTAAGGAGAAATTATTAAATTTCTGAAGAGAAAAGAGAATTATTATTGCATATTTGGCAAAGGCGTGGGGATGTGGGATCCACTTCGATCATAACATAGAAGACAAGTCATGGAACATGGTGGCTGTGAACCCCACTTTTGAATGATTGGTAGGGAACCGTACTGGACCCACTTGTCTGCTTGTCCCCCTCTCGTGAATTGCTGATTGGGCATTCCATCAAACATTTACGTGCCCTGTAATCCCATTGGATAACAGGTGCCCACCACTGTCAAGTGATCAATCCACTTGTAACTGGATGCTGTTTTTTCAAAATCTAAGATACATTTGAAAGCTATTTTCTAATTATTTGACAAATTGCCGCTAAGGGCATTGAACAAGGTAATTGCTAACCTCATGATTTAGTGGGTATTTTTATGAGCATATGTCGATAGGTTTACTTGTTAATGTTGGCATATATCGGCATATGTCGGCATGTTCACTCAAAAGCTATTAACATAAATCGATATGCTCGCTCAAAAATTATTGACATTTGTCGATAGACGTGAAAAATGACCTCGAACATACCATGAAATGCCAATTGGCATGCTATTTTGTCAAAAATAATTCGCACATTATTTTTACTAACCCCCCTCCCCATACAATATTTTCCAAATTCGCCAATGGTTAAAACATGAATCTATAATTTCACTTTTGATCCGTAACATATTATCAATATCGTGTATTTATATTATAATACATAAATTAATAACATTACATGAAGATATGATCTTCGTCCCAAAAAGTTGTATTGTCAGTCGCATTGCTGATCTAGACTTTTTTTTTTGGTAAAAAAAATCAATTGCTGATCTAGAATTTATTATAGCACATTCATTAGGTCAAAATCAATTGATGATGTTCTTGATAGAAACCATTGGAATTATATTGGTGACACTGAATCCGAATTGAAATTTAGCTTATACAGTGATTAATGTGGAAATTAATCATATCTCCATTGAATTATACATTTCCCTTCTCAAAATTTTGATGACTTGATCCCGCTGTATACTCCTTGACATTTTCGAGAAACTATTTTCCTTTGAAGTCCGTCATCAGCACCACAGTATAGTCATCTTTCTTTTTACTTGCAAGTCATTGCCCCAAAAAACAAAGACCTTGAATATTCTACGCAACATATATTTTCAACAGAACGACATAAAGATTTCCATGAAAACATGTACCGACTTTCCTCAGAAGTTTGTGACAAAATATTCTCAAGTCCCTTCCTGAGCAGGATGTTCTGCAGATAAAGAAAGCTTCATAGGGAAGTACGTGAGAAGCAGTCTTTCCATGAAAATTACTGTAATTTGTCGAAAAACCTTTACGTTTTGAACGGCATATCTTAAAGAAGACGAGTCGATTTAGGAGACGAATGTCTGTGAAGGAATCAAAGGAGAGGGGGAGTGAGACACTGAGATCAGTAAAAATGATATAAAACTTCCTGTTTACAACTACAGTAAAATCCTAGGTACAGATCAAAAAGTTAACAGAAGCAAAACGATAAAAACTAAACAGCATATCAGCCACATTCTTTCTAAATGTTCGAGAATGCTTCGATGCAAGCAAGCGGATTGTTAGGATGCTGACATATCGAATTATGTAAAAATGACTACAAACCAGTCGATTAACAATCTACTTCAATGGAAAAAAGCATGTCTGGATACGCCGGTGTGCAAAAATGGACATGTCTGCATATTCAGTGGTTGCTCTCCAAACTCGATCTGGGCAACTTTCTTCATGACTAGTCGTTAAGAACTTTGCTCCGTTTCAAGGAGCCAACCTAAAACATCAAGCGAACATGACATGTAAGGGTAACCTCAGCAAGAAAGGACTGTTCTAATCAAACTAATTCATATCACAAGTACAATCATTAAGTTGTAAGGATTACCGCTAAGGAAATCAAGCAGAAGCATCAAGCTTGCGACATATATGGTATATACAGCATGATTCCTGAAAGCAGTTATTCATTTACAAAAAGGGCACAAAATAAAAAAGGACAAGAAGCCATCAATACAAGCAATTTCATCTTGTAGAGAATTGCAAGGTTTCAGTTTTACCACAACTAGTCACCCAGAATAGAGAGCGGCTCTCTCATGCTAAGCTCTGCCTTAAGGATCGGGAATCGCTCCAAATCATGGGAAGCGCCTAAAACTTTCTGCGAAAAAGGAACCACCGCATATGTTAAAAGAGGTATACTGCATGAACCCGAGCATCAACCAAACAGGCATTGTAGCAAGAAATTCTTGCATAAGATTAGTGTTTATGTACTAATAGTCTAATATCTCATCGGAAAACAGAAATGATGTAAACGAATGGTAATCAAAATTATCACCAAATTACACGATAAAAGGACACAAAAGGAGTACTATTTACCAGACCAGCAAGATGTGCTTCCTGTAAGATATTGCCATCTACTTCCAATCTTGCAATAGGAAACTCTGGAAGATGTCCTGATTGTTTCTTGCCAAGCAAGTTACCAGGTCCACGTAGAAGAAGGTCCATGTTTGCCAAGTAAAAACCATCTGATGATTTCCCTAGGACCTTCAACCGAGTTAGACTACTGGAAGATGATGCTAACAGTATACA